AAAAACCGTAAACAATTCTTCCTCAAGAAACACATCATCTGAATTCAGTTTCTGTTCGACAAAGTTATTTTGCATGTTACCTCTCTTGCAAACACGAGCAATGTGACCAGTCCGCTTACATCGGCTGCATACAACATTTCTAAATTTACACTGGGCCCGAGAATGTTCAGTACCTCCACAGCAATAACAGGCATATGAAAATTTCTGGGCGGTAGGCAATGGTGGTCTTAGGTTATTGGAATTTGATGTATTCCTGCTATTTGAAAACTTATCAGGAATTTGATTTCTACCCACAGTATGCACAGATTAGTTCACTGGTTTCGTATTGTTTTGAAATGCTAAAGTCTCCTTACTAGCAACTTCATCAGCTATGGCCACTTTTAACACATCTTGAAAAGTACGGTCTTCATTTAGTAACTTTTTCCGAGTAGCTGAATTACGAATTCCGCATATAAATTGATCATGCAGAGAACGGTTTAAGAACTGACCAAAGTCACAAGTGGAAGCATAATGTCGCAAACGTGCACTGTAATCAGAAACATTTTCATTTTCTTCTTGAATACACCGATGAAATCTATAAGTTTCAGCTACAACCAAACGTTTCAGTTTGTAATGAGTACGTAACATTTCACAAAGCTCAGAAAAACTTTTATCTTTCGGTGAATCAGGACTGCACAAATCACGAAGGGTTGCGTAAGATTTCTTTCCAATAACTGAAATAAATACCGTGAATTTTTTCTTGTCTGCAGCCGCAAGTGCTTCTTGTGTAGCATCAGCAGGACATTGCCCGATAGAATTAGCGATAAAATATTGCTCTAATCTCTCCGAATATGCAGCAAACAACTTGGTAGACGGATCAAATTCCCCCAGAATGCCGAATAATGGCGTTGAAGACATACTATTAAATTGTACTCGTACAGAACTAAATTCCACTAAATTACTGTTTTAAACTCGTTCGTTCAGCAAGAAAATATACCAGAATCCTTTATTGAAATCCCATCCTCGTCGCCAATTGTTATATCCTCAGAAATGCACTGTTATACTACTCAAACTCAACTTTTAATGTCCTTAGAAAACTGAATAACAACCTTTGCTTTATCGCTCTCGCACATGTTCCTAAAACCCCCAAAGCGCATGCGCAATATATCACACCCGGAACACCCGATTTTTTCTTGCGCAAATGCGCATGCGCTATCAAGCCGAAGGCCATGCAATCTCGTACCCAGAGCAATGCCTGTGCGTGGGCTAGGATGGCATTGGCTCTGGGGAAATTGAATTTTTCCTGTGCTGTGATTGGTTTAACGTTTATCAATTGTGCATGCCGACAAAGAACCCCTAAGTTTAGGGGTTCCGGTTGTCAATTTCCCCAGAGCCAATGCCATCCTAGCCCCGCACAGGCATTGCTCTGCGTACGAGATTGAAGGCCACGTAGCCTGCTCGCAAACGTTATTTTTACGCCAAGCGACGAAAATCTAACACTATAGTATTGTATAGTACAGTGGCCCGGGCATTAGGGACACGCTTGTTCCGTAGAAAATCACATTTGTTCTGTGTACTTGAAGTAGTTTTCCTTAATAACAGAGCGTTTCTGTATAAATGTGACAACTTCTGCAGAAATATAGATGCTTTCCATACAAATGTAGACTTCTTCCGTACAAATCACAAATGTAGATGCCTTCCAAAGAAATTTTATGCTGTGCCTTCCATACAAATGTACAGGGTGAGTAAAAAAAACGGACACCTTTGTTATTCAAATTAGCCGCGAAGGTATCAGTTTTTTTTTACTCAGCCTGTAGATGCTTTCCATAGAAATTTTATGCATGCCTTCCATACAAATGTAGACGCCTTCCGTAGAAATTTTATGCATGCCTTCTATACAAATGTAGACGCCTTCCGTAGAACTCTAAAACTAATGCGCGCGCATAGTCTGGTAACTATGGTAACTCCAGTTGCCATTTGCCAAGCAGCCTTGTGTCAAGCAGCAGTTCGAGAGTATCTTTTCCTGAAGTGCTGAAATGTTTTGTCAAAAATTGTGGCACAAAGCTTTTACATTCCGGAAATTATTGCCACAACTGTGGTCAAGCATCGCTAAAACAAGGTATGTATTTGTTGTAAGATTATATATTCATGTTGCAAAATAATTTGGACATGTGATGTGATCTACTGATGTGATCTCAATTGATGTGATCTCAAAAATATATTAATATTAATATATAGTATATACATTTATTATATAAAGTATAAACTATAGTGGTTTATGTACTGTACACGCGAACGAGCGTTTTATCAAATTTAAAATGCGAGCGCGCAGCGCGAGCATTTTAGATATGATAAAACGCGAGTTCAAGTGTTTTAAATGGCTTCAAAAACGACTACAATAGAGTGATTTCAATGCGTATTGTTCTTTTCTAATTTATAGGATAGGGTTGACTTACTTAGCCAATAATAGGCTGTGACATTACAAATTAAGATTGAGATAGCTTGTCCGAGGTTTACGATGTCATCTTGGACGTAAAGCAAGAACAATTGATTTCCTAATATAAAAAATTATGCCACTTGCGCAATAACGTTTCTTTGTATGTGCTTATGAACGTCTATTTACTGTTTGCTAGAGTTATTGCAAAGGGAAATGCCGTTTGAAGTATTAGTATCCTTAAGCCCCGTTTACACTACGCTCAATTTTTGGTACGGCACAGATAAAATTGGTACCTGTACCACTTTTTTTGTTCTTGGACTACCTATTTAGCTAAGCCCCGTTTACACTACGCTCAATTTTTGGTACCGTACCACTTTTTGGTTCTTGGACTACCTAAATAGGACTACCTTATTCGCTTGTGTTATGTATTGATTTTATTTCAACTTTGTAGCTAGTTGAGAATTTCTATGCATGCATGTAGCATAATATTGCATTAAATGATTATCTACATTAATTGCCAAGGCAAGAAATGGTGAAATATATTGACGATTTCAGCATTGAATTATATAGATTGAATATGTTTCGTCGCGTTCTTGATGCCGAGATGAAGGTGGCCTGCAAGGAGTAGAAAAGAATAAGAAGGCTGAACGGGAAGCTGTCACAGAGGAAGAGGAGAAAATTATGTGGGAGAAAAATCTACTTGGATGTCAAACAGCTAAGTCCCTCGTCCGTACTATTTACTTCTACAATGGCAAGTTATTTGGAATACGGTCGAAAGAGCACAGAAACCTAAGAGTGCATAATTTTCGTATTGACTGCAATTCAGTCACGCATGACGAAAGTTTTTCTAAAACATATCATGGTGGGTTAAAAGATTTGAAATACAACCCACGAGTCATACAGCATATTTGTTGTTCAGGGAAGGATGTTAACCATTTTCCTTGCATTGAAAATTGTTACTCTACCTACATAGAAAAAGTCAAGGATTTGGCTAAAAGCAATGAAGCATTCTATTTTAAACCGAATAATGATGAGGCTGTTGTCGAGTATTACAATTTGGTTTTGGGCATTAATAGTCTGAATAAAATTCTACCTGATTTATGCGAAAGTGCCGGCGTGAGTCGTAAGACGTCTCATTGCTTAAGAGTAACTTGTGCAACTCGATTGTTTCAGTCGGAGGTCGAAGAAAAGCTGATTAGAGAACGTACCGGTCATAGGTCGAACGCTTTGTTGGCGTATGAAAAGGAGAGTTCTGAGCAAAATCGTAAAGTTAGTAAGATCTTAGGTCCTCCTGAAGTGATTGTTGATGACGTTGTTGAGCTAGAGGACGACATTCCTCAATTAAATTCCTTGAGAAACAGCAATTCAGACTTGTTTGATTTTGACGTTCCTGATGAAGTTGATGAAATATTAGCTACTATGGGTTTGCCTGGGAATAACGAAATTACAAAAACTTCAACTAGTTCTGCAACGGGTTCTAGTGCAACGTTGTCATGCAGGCTGTGTATTTAATAACTGTTCAGTTTACTTTGGAAAAATGTAGATATTTAGTGTGTTATAAGCTGCTATAGGCTTGATTTTGTTTAAAGGGTGGTTTGTTTTTTAATTTTTAATTAACGTGAAATTTTATATAAAATCTCACATTCATTAGTATTCTTTATATAAAATTTCACATTAGTTAGCATTTTCATTGTTTCAATGAATAACCCCATATTTCCCCTGAGACAGAATTCAAATACCCTCCTCTGGCTTTTAAAAAGAAAGATTTTACCACGTGAATAAATGAAGAAAACCCATTGGCATATATTTGTGTAATGAATAATAATGAGTATTTGTAAGAGATTTCGAGCACTGATAAAAGTGATAATCTCACATGTGAGATTATTTATGATAATCTCACATGTGAAAATTATCAATTTTCGCTTTTCTGTAAAAATTATCGCTTTTCAAAGACTGTCTTTTATATAATAAACAGAAAAATACATGGGTGCTTGGAAATACCAGATTTATTTCATGTTCAACACTCGAAATATATCTGGTATTTCCAAGCACCCATGTATTTTTCTATATGTACACTTTCATAAATATATTTATATATACATTTCATAAATATATTTATATATACATTTCATAAATATATTTATATATATATATATACACTTCCATATATATATAATAAATTGATGTACTACTTAAAGCACACGTAAGAGTGTTTTATCACATATAAAACACTATGCGTAGCGGAGTGTTTTATATGTGATAAAACACGACTACAAGTGCTTTAAATGGCTTCAAAAACAACTCATCTTATACGAGTTCATTGGTGAAGTAATTTTTAAAATAAACTTTGTCTAAACCGAGAAAATCAAAGCTAAAGTTTATGTAAATTAACATGATTTTTTATCACATATAAAACCACGACACGATTTTTCTTTGTGTTTTCTCCTGAATTATTAATGAGTTTTTGAATTATTATATAAAGTATAGTGCTTTATAGAGATTTCAAGCACTGATAAAAGTGATAATCTCACATAATCTCACATGTGAAATTATTCATGATAATCTCGCATGTGAAAATTATCGCTTTTCAATTATCACTTTTCTGTAAAATTATCGCTTTTCAAAGACTGCCCTTTATATAATAAACAGAAAAATACATGGGTGCTTGGAAATACCAGATTTATTTCTCGTGTTGAACATGATATCTCACTCATTCGCTGTGCTCACTCGTGAGATATCATGTTCAACACTCGAAATAAATCTGGTATTTCCGCGCACCCATGTATTATTTTATATTTAAATACCGTATAGTTTGTAAAATAAAAAATACAGTCAACGTCACGTTTATTCAACAAAATCGCACCAACATGTGCTGCATTGCATTGCAATGGCGTGTTAATTACTGAGCTATATACTAACTGGACTGTTAGCTTCAACTGAATGTAAGGGGGGGCATTGGGATTTACGGTATGGCGGTATTAGCTTTTTTTCTTACGGTATTTCTGTATTTTCCTTGAAAAATTGTGGTATTACAATATTGGAAATCTTGTGGTACACAGTATTTGCAATTTTGGACTCAAAAACTGCGGTTATTGACAAAATTTGCTTGCGGTATTACGGTATTGAATACCCCTCAATGCCCCCCTCTGCATATACATTGAATAATCATGTGTTCACACATTGAGGCAATGTAAGATAGAAAAACGGTAATTGGGTACAAGGGAATTTGGGTACAATGGTATGAAGTCCAGAATATTTTTTATATAGTTTATACGGTTATGAAATTAGACAGCAAATTGCAAAATTAATTAAATTGATTGAAAATAATTAACATATGCGAACTAACTTTTAAGAACACCTACTTCTTCTGCCAACAGTGCTAGCTCATCTAGCGATTACAGCAGAACACCAGCAAGTAACACTGGTACAAGGAACACCCGTTCAAGTGGCCCTGTTTCCTTTGAGGCATTTCGGAAGAAAAAGGAGGAAGATCGATCTTCCAGATTCAAGCCCAAAAAAGAATATGGTTCTAACAGCAACTAAAAAGGCAAAAGTATCCAATGACGTTAAAGTGCAAGTTGGGCTAGTTTGTAATGATGGGAATGGTAGATTAAAGAAACTAACAAGACACTACAAACATACAAGACACTATAAACAATTTGATAATGGTGATATATACGTTATCCTTTATCAAGACATGACTCAAGTTAAAAACCTTCCAGGCAGCAATACACCATTCACCTTGGGAGTGTATAAACCTGATCTACTCAAGCCATGCTCCAAAATGTTTTTTTGGTTGTGTTCTATGGAAGATTTTGAAATTTGTACATGCGACAATGATGAGAGTGAAAATGAAGATCTAATGTGCAGTGGTGCTTTTGGTTTGTCTGAAGGCAAAGGTAGTGACAATGAAGATCTAATGTCCTTGACACCCATTGCAACACCACTTGTACCGTTAATTCATGCCATTGATGACAAATCTGTATATTCTCGCAATTCTCCACATCATGACATCATCACAGTCATCCAGGAGTGCAGGCCCTGGAATAGAGAAATACTTAGTTCCACACCAATGCCATTTATATTATGCTCGTGATGAAGTTGAATCACATGCAGATGCCTGTGCAGAAAACTGGTTAGATACTGTTGGTGAATGTCCAGTTGTTGTAAACCTTTCTGAGGAGCAAGACGTAGAAAATGATCATCCAGAAGAGATTTCAGCAATGGATCATATTGAAAACATTTGTGAACGGTTGGAAGACATGAAGAGAATTTTAAAAAAAAACTAAAGGGTAATGTTAAGAATACCTCAATTAAGTGTGCATTTGAAGTGTGCATTTGAAAGACTACATGGATGCAAGACTAAAGAAGTTTTTCAAACCAGAAGGCCTGCTTAAAGTACGTTTCACAGGGGAGCCAGCTATAGGTGGTGGTGGGCCACGTCGAGAATTTTTTACAGGTACTCATTAATCATACAATCTAATCTAACATGATGTACAACAAGTTATTTTGTAGGACTTAGAGAAAGAAGGAAAGCTATTGGATGCATGTCTTCCCAGTCACTATGTGATCTTAAATTGTCAGTTAATTGCATCATATTTGCCCAATTCAAATACTACATTATATTTTATCCATGTCCAAAAAGCTAGCTATACTGGTATATTCCTCTTTAAAGTGCCAAATAATATTTTTGGTTTTTAAGCAGCTCCACATAGTGTATTTTGTTTTCACTGAGGTGGTTTAGTTTTTTTATGTCTTTAGTTTTTATTTTAAAGCAAAACAACATTTTAAAGCTCTGTAGGTGTATTAAAGACTAAGATAATAATGTTTTACTTTCGCAGAGGCATTGAATCACATTCAAATGAAACTATTTACTGATGACGGGTATCCTGTGGTGAACATCCAAGCTTTGACAGAAGAAGAGTTTGAAGTTGCACGTGAAATTTTTGCCACATCTATTGTTCAAGAAGGACCAGCTGCTTGTTTATTATCAACAAATGTATATGATTATATCGTTAGAGGAATTTGTAGTGTGCAAGCACATAACTGGATAGTACAACTGGAAGATGATGTATCAAAGACAGCAATTGACAAGGTGTTCAAGAAGGACCAGCTGCTTGTTTATTATCAACAAATGTATATGATTATATCGTTAGAGGAATTTGTAGTGTGCAAGCACATAACTGGATAGAACAACTGGAAGATGATGTATCAAAGACAGCAATTGGCAAGGTAAATTAAGTGGTTAATATTCTACTGTACTACTTAAATTGCCCTACTTTGCAACCTAAAGGACAACTTTTGTAGCAGTTCAGGTAACAATTTCCATCTGGATCATCCTCTTTTAAATTGCTGAAAGAATGATGGACCATAGGCATTATAGGCAATCACATCCCTCGATTGCCTATGGTCCATCATTAACCCATTGAGTCGCATTGCATCCTGCTTTATTATTTTACTCTAATGCTAGACTCATCAAGGGGAGAGTGCTGGCGTATTAAGGGTCTAAGCCAGCCTATAGTTAACCCACTGAGTCACAATGCGCCTGGATGTAGGGTTGGGCAATATTAAAAAAATCATCTCACGATTATTGTCGAGGAAATTATCACGATATTCGATAATATCGCGATAAAAACAATGACCAGTAAGCTTAAAAATAATCTTATTAAAAACAAGTAAAACAACAAGTTAAAATCATTTAATATGAACGCTTTTTCTAGTCTAATATTTACTGTTCATAAACCCGAACTGTCTATGCAGTGTCTACTGTGTCTCCGCAGGCGCAAATGCCGTGGGCACACAGCGCAAGCAAAGCCTGCAATTTCATTGTTCAGCGGCTTACTAACTTACCAAGGCCGAAAGGCCGTATTAAATTCGTATTTAATTCAGGAAATAGTTTTAATTCTTTTAAAAACTATGTTTTCTAGAAATTGAAGGAATTTTTTTAAGATTTTATAAAAGCTATATACACATGCGAAGCAATATCACGATAGTCAACGAGCATGACGGTAATTTCGATATATCGTCGCTCACGTTTCTACCTTCGATACGATAATCGCGATTGAAAATATCACGATAAATCAAAATATCGAAATATCGCCCAACCCTACCTGGATGCACCCTACTTTATTATTTTACTGTGTCTAATGCAGGGATTATTTTAAGGAAATTTCATCATTGCACAAAAGCACGAAAAATGATAAAATTTATATAAATTTAGCGACATTTTAGAAAACGTTCTGACTGCCCTGCATGAGCGCATGTACTCTGGTTCCATACTGGAAAGTTCGTAATTCACACGCCGAATATTTCTGCCGACTGTTTTCTACCTTAATTTTATACGCCAAAGCGTGTGATATTCTTACGCCAAAGACCTAAACGGCTAAACTGACGAAGTCTATTAAGTCTATGAGTTTAACAATTAACATTGTAGCCCCCCCCCCCGAAAAACAAAATATGAAAATACACTACGTATAGTAGTATACATAACATAATTATCTGTAGACTACAATACATTGACAATGTCAAAAGTACATGAAAGATAAACGATGTTCTACAGTTGGATCAAAGTACATGAAGTAATGAGTAATGCAGTGCTTCCATTTTCAAAAAACATAATTTCCTTCCAACCGTTCAAAATTTCCTTATTTTTGAAAAAATTTCCTTGCAATAAAAATGATTGAATTTTACCTAATTTAAAACTGATTTTATAGTAATTTCTGTAATTTATCTCGAATAACAGGGTATTTCTTGTTCTAGAAGAAACATAGACGTTACAGGGGCTGATTTATCAAAGGGGAGAGACAAAGTGTTTACATAGATTAACACAAAGGAGAATAACCAGGGTGGTCTGGGGGTCCTCCCCCAGAAAATTTTCAGACTTTGCATCTTGTAGGACAGGATTTTCACCATATTTTGAAGCACATTTCCTTGGCAATTGCCGTATTCTTAGGGTTTTTTAGAAATAAGGCAATTTCCTTCAATCTTCCGAAATTACCTTCAAATTTCCTTCAGATTCGAATTTCCTTATAATTTCCTTGAACTAGTTAAAATTGTCTTCAAATGTAATGACATAAGGATCGAGCGCAAAATTCGAATCGTGTTTTTAAATCACCGTGTCCGTATGTTAATAATAAATAAAGGATTAAAAGAAACTTTCATTCAATTCTTAATTTCCCTAATCCTTATACATTTTACATTTACGGGTTGTGAAGTTGGATTAAAGTACATATTTTAGACTTTTACGCCAACTACTTTTGAGATGATCTGTTCACGCCACGCCAGTTTGATATGGCCATTGGCCAAATAAACAGGCAAAATTACGCCAATTTTGGCGTAGTCGACTAAATTATACGCCGAATATATTCGGCGTAACATACGAACTTTCCAGTATGGCTCTGGTTCTGCAACTCAAAGTTTACCCCATGCATGTCACTAATTATATGCAGGCAAATGAGAGCAAAAATCACCGCTAATGAGCCCAAATCTGCATTCTGCATATATTCTATTTCATGCAAAAATATACACATTTTCACGTATGTTTTGAATTGCATGCAAAACAACAAGCAATATTGCCCAAGCATCTTTGACACTCGTGAAATAGATTAATTTATATTGACTATAAACAGATAAACTGTTGATTGTGTTACCGAAGAGCGTCAAAAATCTCAAAACAAAATCGCTCGGAAGAAGCAGTTTAATTAACCATATGAAGATGATAATAGAAAAGTGATTTTCTTGAACACGACTTGGCCGCCATAGGACAGATACCCGATAGGAATAAATATGCCACCGAAACATTAGTACTCAATTGCAATAATTTTGAGTTAAATCTTTCACCCTGTATATTCCCAGTAAGGGCTGGAAGCCATTGTATGTGGATTATATGCAAATTAGTATACAACCAACCATGCAGTGGCCATTTTGTCGCCAATTTCTAGTACTGAACAATATCGTATTTTATCACTGCACATAATCTAATTTATTGCTGCCCAAATTGGTTATCACTGCACCTTAGAATACTCCCTGGTCTAATGTAGACTATTTTACTCTGTCTAACCCATACAATTTTACTCGTCAAGGGGAGAGGACTGGTGCTTAATGGGTTAAAGACAACTGATTGTTGTTTACAAAGACAATTGTCGTTCAAAACTACATTTGATGATTTATTCAAATTTATGCCTAATTTGTATTGTAGATAAAATCTTGTGAAAGCAATGAGCAGTTGACAAGTTTACTTAATAATGATGAAATGTTGATTTTGATTGATTGATTTTAATAATCGTAATTTGCAGTTACAATAAAAACAACTGAAGTATATACGATGTACAGTGACTAAATAACCTAATAATATGTACATAACAAGTAATACAAATTGGATTAGATATATGATTATAGTACAATTTAAAAAAATTAAATTACTGTTGAAGACTATTAGCGATTATGAATCAGTTCTTATACCGATCAGTTTGAATTCGAGGTAGATGGAATTTACTACATTGTCTTAGGGAATACAAACTTTTGGAAAGCCAACTCCACTTAAAAAAGTGAAGCCAATATGGTAGAATTTGAAGCTATTCCTACTGACTGATCATTTTCTCAGTTCCCTTCCCACTTTTCTTGGGAATGAGAATTAGGCACCGAAATGGCTTCAGTGATATTTCCACAATGTTTACATTCACGTTTTGACGATGCAATTTACTGAAGTTGATCTTCATCACGTGCAGTTTAGCTGTTTAATTGCAAATAAGAATTAAACTGTGGTATGATGTGTGTGTTATATATCACTGACAGCAATTATTTTGAACCCATCGACAGATACCCTGCTGGCAGTGGTTTCTGAGCTGAGGAGAAACCAAGTTTATTAAAATTTTCACATCGCAGTCCGGGTAGTTTAAGTAATTTAAATCCTACTTCTACTAACTATTATGCATGCAATACTAAAACTTACATTAGAATATCGAATATCGATATGTATGAATTATATTAAGAATATGAATTATATTAAAAATATCTACTATAAATATTTATTAGAGTCTTATCGTTGAACTTTTGAAGCATAATAGTTAATAAAACTGTCTTTAAAACGATTCGTCTTCAAAACCGGCAAGTCATATTTTGAAGTGGACCTAGGATTTATATTATTTGAATTTAGTGGTGGTAGTAAATCCGCTAATTTATGGTTATTGTTAATCGAAACTGAGTTAGAAAGTTCTCTGCATAGTCTGTCTCTTCGATCGGCAAAGGATTGTAGGCCTGTTAATTTTAACGCGTCACCATAACGTTCCTCTGGGTAGAGCATGCGAAGAGCTCGTTTCTGTATTCTTTCCATTTGATTAGACAAATACTCTGGCAAATTGCTATAAAATGTCTGGCAGGCATATTCTAGAGTTGATCGGATGCACGTACGGTAGAATTGCACTAAAGAATTTACGTCCACACCTGCTCTTTTTAATATTCTTAGAAGATATAGCCGCTTTGATGCCTTATGGGTAATTTCGGTTACATGATCATTCCATTTAAGATCTTCCCTAATAGTTACACCAAGAATTTTTGCAGATTGCACGACTTCAAAAGCTAGGTCGTTGACAGTTATTGGGTCGTCTATATGTCGATGTCTAGTAAAGTCAATGCGGATCTCTTTACATTTCAGAGAATTTAACTGAAAATTATTTTCGTTCGACCAGCGATTTATCTGATCCACCTGTACCTGTATTCTACTTGATCTGGTTTTTGGGATAAGTTCGGAAACTGTAGTGTCGTCTGCAAATTTCCACAAATCAGAGGAGTTACCAGGTATCGCTAAATCATTTATCATTGCTAAATCATTTATCATTGCTAAAAATAGCCAACGACCAATCTTAGTACCTTGCGGAATTCCAGCTGGAACTATTTTGGAATTTGAAAAGCAATCCGAATTAAGCTTTAGATGCTGTGATCTCCCACATAGAAAGTCAGCAATCCAATTTACAACTGTTTGGCAATTAGAATATTGTGGTCCACTAAGTCAAATGCTTTTCTGTAATCCAGAAGTGCAACCCTGACGCGCGAACCAGTGCCATCCGTGTTTTCCAACCAGCGATGTAACATCGAAAATAAAGCAAAAGTAGTACATGAATTGGGCACAAAACCAAATTGATTTGGAGCCATTGCTTTCAGCAGCGTAGGTCTTATTTCCTGCTCGATGATGCATGACTCAGCAATCTTGGATAAAGTTGGTGTTAATGAGATTGGTCTTAGATCTTTATTGAAGTCTTCAATGGCAACTGTTTTTAGTAAAGGTGTAACATTGGCCAATTTCTACACATGAGGTACTTTTGATTCCCGAAAGGATGCATTAATTATGTTTGTGATGGCTGGGGATAATATATCAGAGAATGTTTTTAAAACCCAATTGGGTATACCGTCAGGGCTAGGCCTTTCCCGATTGCGCTGAGCACTTTTTGAGCACTTTTTTTTGTTTGGAGCACCATTTTGCATGTTGAGCAACGTTGAGCACTTTTTCACACTTTGGGCAACATTTGAGCAATATTTCACATTTCGAGCGAATTTCGAGCAACAAAAAGTCAGCGATTATAGAATTCGATTCGTACCTCGATTAACTAAACATACAGTTCGGAGTAAGGTTTAAAAATTGACGGGTATTATACTATTATTTTATATATAATTTAGGTATAACTCCAAAAGAAAAGCCGTACAGCTGCATATGACATTACAGTTAAAAAATTAGAACGCTGACTTTTTCGAGTTCTCTTTTTTTGTCGTAAACAACTCCATATACGGAAGTTTGTTCCATATATGGAGAAAGACGTGGAAACAGATTTTAAAAAATGCTGATTTTAAAAAATTTACGAAAATCTTATAGGTAACTGTTCACAATTTTAGCACTTTTTGAGCACTATTTTGAGATTTTGAGCACTTTTTGAGCACTTTTTAGCCATTTTTGCCAGCACTTTTTTAGGATTTTACCAGCGCAATCAGGAAAGGCCCAGTCAGGGCCTCCCACTCTTGATATGTTGATCTGCCGAAGTTTTTCGCGATTGATTCCTCGTCCACTACAATTGGTTCATCATGGTCCGTCAACACGCATACCTCCTCCGATAACGGCGTACAATTGTCCATTACACTAACAAAGGCTTTCCTAATTTCATTAGCCAGATCTTGATCACTACTCTCTGTATTTGTTCTTAATATCGACCGAATGTCTCTTCTCGCTGCTTTAGACGTGCCACAAAACTGCTTTACTTCTCGCCACCAATCACAGGGTTTGGTATGCTGTAGATCTTGTACCTTGTTCTTGTAGTATATCATTCGACACCTTTTCCTCTCACGGTTAACTTTGTTTCGCAACAATTTATAGAGAAACACGTCACCCGAGGAGAAGGCTTTTTGTCGTCTCTTTATAAATTGTTTTAAGTTAGCATTCATCCAAGGTTCATCCGTTTTGTGGACTTTAATAGAACGCTCAGGCATAAATGTGTCAAAACCGTATCGTATTATTTCAGTAGAGCAAACGAACGATCGTTTCATGTAGCCGCTGTCGAGATTCACGGACGAAACATGGTAAAACAAGTTTGACACGTTTTTGTTGTTGTGTGCATGGGTAAATGCTTGCCACTTGCTGGTAAAATCCGAGTCAGTTGTACACTTGAAATATCCGGTGTACTCGATCAAAACTAAACGACTGTACGCATATTTTGTGTGCTCTATCTAGTTTATATTCAAAATATCCATCACATGTATCTAAACTATCAAACTTAATTCCATCGGAATCGAAATACTAGTCTACATGCGGCAGTCGAGCAGTGGCCCGTCCGTCAGGAAATTTAAAAGTCCTGAACTCTAAAGCGTTAAAAATATTCTCTTAAAAAAATTAAACCCACCCCACACACAACCCTAACTCCTAGTCCTAAGGCCTAACCTTAAAATCATACTCAGAAGAAGTTAAAAAAAAAATTTTTAATTTGAAAATATAAAAACTGTAGCATACGGTATTTGAACCCGGGAACCACACTTCGCAAGCAGGCGCCTAAATCACTGCGCCGGGGTGGGCCGGAGGAATTTGGAGGTGGGTCAGCCAATTTTGACATGCTTCAAAGGGGTGGGTCTTTTTATAGTTTTGGTATAAATGGAGGGGGTCATAAAAATAATCAGTGAAAAAATCACCAATATAATTTAATATAATTTGGAAATATTTGGATCAAGAATGGTAAATATTTGAATCAAGAATGGAAATATTTGGATCAAGAAGGGAACTATCTCGTCATCTATAACAATGAAGCAAAATTCATTTGACGCTCTGTTCACACGGTCCATAGGAAAACATTTCCATGACGTTCGTTAATTGACCTCGTTTTTATCCGTTTTTGTGTAAAAACATGAATGAAAGAAAACGCAGGACTGTAGCAACGGGGGGGGGGGGGTGGGGCTGCAGCCCCTCCCCCCAATAATTTGCTAATAATCATTCTTTTTTCAAAATCATGCAGACCTTTATCAATTTTAAGCTTTTAAATTTAAGCAGCTACATTATCCATGACAAACTGCAAAGAATGAAGATATTACCCACAGTTTCCTGCAACTTATCCCAGTTATCCAATATACAGAGTTACAAAACATGTTCAAATTTACTCCGGGTAAAGTTTAAAACCTTCCTCAAAATAAATTGAATAATTATGGCTTCATCAAATAGCAATATACTAGAGTGTAAGTAGCATTACCTCCCCCCCCCCATATGGAAGAATTTTCCTGCCAAAAAAGTCAGCAGTTTTTGCGTATGTAGATGACGTTGCGTACGTACGCAGGGGAGTGACGTCATAATGCGTACGTGTGCGTACAGGGAGAGTATCCCTCATATAGCATAAATTTTCCCACCAAATGACTACATGTGTGTGGACATGTTTTTATAGGGGTGCGTACGGAGAGAGTATAAAAGGATGTAATGGTGAAAGAATTTTTTATTATTGAGCAGGAAGATGAATTGTTTACATGGGAAACCTGCGGCATATTCTACAACAAGCAATGGAACATTTTGGTTTTGTGGTGAGGATCCATCTTGCAATTTTATTTGTGCGGAGAATGAATGTTACATGTACAAGAAAGCTATAATGACATGGAGATGTACAGATCAGCCGCATCTGCGATATCGTGAGCATAATAAGTTGGCGAAGATGTGTGTGGTGAAGGACTTGATGAAAGAGAATTTCGGGAGACCATTTTTCGTTTGTGGGGAGAAGGGGAAGCAGTGTTCTTTTTGGACGTGGGGCATTTGGACGTGGGACAAGAAACATGGCGTACTGTCAAGAGCTCTGTGAAGAGGGACTTTAACTTTGAAAGGTGAAAAGACAGAGGAAGTCAAAAGCAAACTTGTTCAAATTATCCAGCGTGAAAAAGCGGCGAATACGAGTCAAGATGGCGATAAAAACTTGCACTCTAGCTTGCATAATTTAACAGTGCTCACCGAACCGATGATTAATGAAGCAAGTGAGATAAATGTCTTAAAGCAAACAATGAACGAGTTTATTGAGACAATGGCTGCTAAATTTGAAGTCTTAACATCTGATGTTCACAATTTAAAAACTGAGAAATTTGATTTGTTGGCTGCTGAAATTGATGACTTAAAAAGTAAAGACTCCTATGCTATTGGTGATGAGCTGAAGAGTGAAATTAATCGACTTAAACTCGAAAATACTTCGCTTTTTGAGAGAAACCTCAATCTGTTATGCACTGTCTCAGATTTGAATACCAAAATTAAGGATTTAGAGAATGACAAAATGAGCCTAATGACAGCCATTAAGTTACTCCAGGTTGATGTTAATGTTCAAGGGGAAACCACAGGATCTTGGACAGAAATCAGAAGTAATAAGAAGGCTGAATCCAAACATCCAACGGACAGTTCGAATGCAAGTAGATCTTCGGTAATCACTGTTGACGATTCGTTCGATGATAAACCTGAAGGCCCCTCGGTGAGAGTTAATACAAACAGTTTTCCCTATTTAGCGTGGAAGGAACAGACACCAGTGCCAATGAGGTAAGAAATTCAAATGTGAATGTTATTACGCCAAATTCATCCGATGATAGACCCAGAAAGAATGATCAAAGACAAAAGAGCAGGGGTGATGGTTTTCAAGGCAATATATCCGCTGAGAGATCGAGAAAGAATGATCAAAGACAAATGAGCAGGGGTCATGGTTTTCAAGATAATACATCCGATGATAGACCGAGAAAGAACGAACTAAGACAAAAGGATAGAAAAACTGTTATTATCGTGGGCGAATCAATGATTCAACATGTGCATGGTTGGGAAATGTCAAATACAGAAGTCAGCGTTGCCGTTAAGTCGTTTTCTGGTGCTAAAATTGATGACATGAATGATTTTCTGCAACGTATTATATGAAGGTCACCCGATGAAATAATTCTCCATATTGGCACGAACAATATCAAAGGAAATGATTCGCCTGAAGTTCTCGCTGCAGGTATTTCTTGATTATCATCAATGATAACCAAGAAATCACCTAATACTAAAGTGACTATCTCTGGTTTAATAGTTAGAAAGGGCCTAAATTTAAAATCGAAGATAAAGTCTGTAAACAAGTTGTTGAAATCAACTTGCGTGGCTAATAACTGGCCCTTTATTGATAATTCAAATCTAGATGAAAGCTGTCTAAACCTTAAAGGTTTACACCTAAATCGGAAAGGAACAAGCTATCTTAGCAGTAACTTTTCTAATTATATATGATATTCGATTTGGGCTAGTTGCAATCCAGTAAGTATACTTGAGTCTGGCTTTCCCAAAATTAGGGGCTTTAAGGTAGCCATGCTAAACATTGTCAGCCTGTCGAAATATGTTGAGGAGATTAGAATTCTATTAGCTAAGCAAGATCTTGATATTCTTGCTTTGAATGAGACTAGACTATATGTTGTCTGATGATTTGATGTCTGTTCATAATTATGACCTGATTCGTACTGATCGGAATAGGCAAGGTGGTGGTGTTTGCCTATATATTAGAAGTAATTTAAACTATCTTAATCGAAATGATTCAATCCCTGCTACTCTTGAAGCAGTCTGTGTTGAAATTCACAAACCAAACAGTCAACCATTCATTGTTGCTAGTATATATAGATCTCCTAGTGGCAGCTCTCAGTATTTTTCTATGATAGAATCCTTTATTGATAAACTTGATAGTGAAGGTAAAGAAATTATTGTGGTTGGTGACTTAAACTGCAATATGTTAGATTCGTTGAATTCGGCATCCATAAAACTAAATGACTTTTTGAATGTCTATCAACTTTCCCAATTAATTGTTAAACCTACTTGTGTAACTCAAACCACAAGCTCCTCATTGGATGTCTGTATCTCCTCACTCCCTGAGAAAATTATATATTCGGATGTATTTCCAATTGGAATTAGCGATCACAACTTAATATTTGTTGTTCTCAAAATAAATGTGCAAAAAAGGGTGAGAGCCCATCAGACTGTTGAAATTAGAAATTTTAAACATTTCAATCCCAGCAAATTTCAAGAAGATCTTTTATCTCAGCCATGGGATCTTTTACACAGTGAGGATGACGTAGACTCTAAATGGTGTTTGTGGAAAACTTTGTTTCTGGCAGTTCTTGATGTGCATGCCCCTCTTAGGATGAAAAGAGTAAGAACCCGAAGTAATATCCCTTGGTTGAATAAAAATTCTAAAAAATTAATGTTTGAAAGGGATAAACTTAAATTGAAGGCAATAAAATCCAATAGCGTTGTCCGCAGTAGCTAAAAATAGATTTTCGAAATGAAGACCCCCCCCCGCGAGACTCAGACAAACAAACTAACATTTTGTATAGAATTGTACTAGCAGCGAACATAAATTGGTCTAAACTGATGTTTTTATTTATTTTATCTGTGCTAAAACGAATTTAAATTTATCCCAAACTACAAACATGGTTATTGCTAAGCTCTGTTGGTGGGGAACATGTCCAAGTAATTCAAAATACTCAGAATAATTGCTGAAACAATACTCAGAATAATTGCTGAAACAGTACTCAGCAGTAGCAATGTGTTGACTGTTATTGACTGCGGACTGTGCTGGTTATTCTCCAAGAACTTTCGCAGCTAACCATTTCCCCCCGTCAATACATCCAGCGAACGATGCTTTCCCGAACTATTAAAAGCAATCGCTAACTCGCTGAAGAAGAACGTGGCGTTTTATACCGCTTTGCTATAAGCCGGCCTCTACATTTTAACCACTGCTTAAGTTTATAAATCGACAGTATAATCAGATGGATGATGCTCAAAAGATGAGTCTGGGACGCCATCGTTTTTAGTGAGAGCGTCTGTTGTTAAATTTATGACTGAGAGAAGCAATAGTTTAACCAGACAGTGTTAGGCTATTTAATTAACACAGTGTTAATAATAAAGGGCGGTTCTCTATTTTAAAAAAACTTTAAAAATAGATAAATAAAAATGTTGTTTTTATAATAACATATTTTTGTTGTATTGTCAAAGCAAAATAGTTTTACTGGTCAACGGAAGATTTTGTATTTGTAGTTTATCTTTGACATTTTTTAAAAGTTTAAATTTGAAAGTATTAATTTTAATTACATTCCTAATAAATCCGTATTTTATAAGTTGAATATGTAGTCAATAGATTATAGTAAATAATCCTAGCTTCTTTGGTATTGGACTTTGCTATTAATAAAAGAGATGTCTAAAGTAATAAAATAATGCACACTAAAGCGAGGTAAGTTAGTAACATGAAATCAACAACATTAAATAGGGAACTTTAGAACTGATTCGCTTGGGCTACGAATTAAATCTGGTACGACTACGAGATTTTTTCGTTAAATATCTGCTACTACAGACTTTCTATCGTCCTTTCTTTTGCATACCCTTTCTTTATAGCAACAGTTGCGCCAAACCATGGACTATTATAACACAGTAGACACTGCCTATGATAGAAACGACATGACAGTCGATACTAAAGTGACGAAAAAGTGTATATTTCTACTTCCAAAGCAAAAATATTTTGCACTGGCACTTCAGGTAAAGCGAAAAGTACAAGGTGTGTATGATTTCGCACAAATAAACTGTAAACAAACGATCAAACTATCAAACTAACTCACAGGAAGCTCTTAATCGTAATACTATTTATATTAAATGTTGCCAATGTTTGTCTGAGTCTTGGCGGGGGGTCGAATTTTTGTGACGTCAATTGCGGACAACGCTATTCCACTTTAGATTGGAATGCATACAAGATGGCCAGAAACGTTCTTTCATGCACTTTACAAAAGGATAAGCAATTATATTATAGTAATTTGCTTTATAAATACAAACACAGTCCGAAAGAAAGTTGGCAAACTATAAATCAAATCCTTGGGCGAGGCCATAATAAATCCTCTATATCTAGCATTAGACAAAATGATAACATTATTTCTGGTTCTAATGAAATAGCTGAGACTTTCAATGAATATTTTTCTACTATTGGAGACAAAATTGCAAATTCTGTTGATTCTGGAAATACTCACTTTAGTTCATACATAAGTAAATCATCCACGACTTTTGAGTTTGATACTGTATCTGTTGATAAAGTTTTACATTCATTTCATGCTTTATCCTTGTATTTCTGTTGATGGTAAACTTTTGAACCGAGTGATAGTGACTGAGTCTCTAGGAATTTCATATTGACCAATTTCTCTCTTGGGATTTTTATATTGAGAAATTGACAAAGAAAATTTCTAGTGGCATTGGAGTGATTTCTAGGCTAAAACCGTTTGTATGCAGAAATACTCTTATTTCTGTCTACAACGCTTTAGTTCAAACATATTTTGATTATTGTTGCGAGGTGTGGGATCCGATTGGCAGTGTTTTATCTGATAAATTGCAGACTCTTCACTTAAGGAACGTCGATTTGAATCTAAAGCCAGACTCATGTATAAGATTATTCATGGTTTTGCACCTACTGCACTTACTGAAATATTTTCTAGTGCTTCAGTTGTCAGACCTCATGACTACAATTTACGTAATTCTGACATGAAGCTCAATCTTCCTTTTCCTAAAACGGAATATTTAAAAAAGAGTATAAGTTTCAATGGTGTTAAATTGTGGAACGATTTACCTATTGAAGTTAGAAATGCGGAAAGCCTAAGAATTTTTAACTCGCTTTTATGTGCAACTAGCCTGTCACGATCTAATAGTTTGTAAATATTTAACTTTGTATATATGTGTCTTGTTGTTTATTATGTGTTTTAAATCTTTTCACCACACCCCCCTTGGAAATCAATTTGTATTGAAGAGGTTAGCATGTTTAAATAAAGTTTTACCTACCTACCTACCTACCTATGTATGTGTATCCGATAGTGAAAACAGAGTGTCATCATGGATTACCGTGTGTGGTGCGAAAGGTGAAGAAGGATGGTTTGAATAAAGGTCGACTGTTTTTCTGTTGTGCGAATGACGAGGAGAACAGATGTCAATTTTTCGAGTGGGCCGCTGAAGAGCAAGTGAGACCGTTTCAGTCTGCCATTAGATAAGAAACCTTTAGAGAATAAGGAAAAGAACAATTACGTAGCGACTGAATTTATCCGCAAGTTTGCAGATGAACTGAAGTTGTAGAAAATAGTAATAAACATGTTGTAAAGGAAGTTTTTTAGTGAATAAAATGTTTTTTTGAGTTTTATTCTGTGTATGACGTCCTGATTTGTGTACGCAATTGCGTACGTACACATGAGGCAAGGGCATTTCGTAAAGGAGATAGCATTGGACGTAATTTTGGACGAGTTGAGAAAAGGCGGTGTTAACATTGATATGAATACGTTAACATATTATATTAATGATTTGAGAGAGCGTCATGGTTCTTTGTATGATCAGATGGCTGTAAATGTGAATTCTGGGGAATTTCTCAATGTATTCAAATTGATGAATGTGACGAATTTTGGCAGAGCGATGGCGTATCTGGCATTTGTTGATACTGTGGATGCACCTGAAGAGTTGAAGCGCGAGGCTGCTCGTTTTGTGACGGAACCTTTAAGGGGTTTTAATGTGAATGCCTGGCGAATTGGAGAGGAATGGTTTCATGGTATATGGAGACGTATATTTGGTTAAGGTAAATAATGTTTCGTAGATTGTTTAGACAAGTGTTTGGATGTTAAGGTAATATGTAGTAATTAGTGGGATTGGTGATGATGGTTGATATTAGGTCAGGTCCATGGCGTTCAATAGGCAAGACATGTGTTTAGTAGCTCTGTTAATCTTCGAAATTTTAATCACTTTTTATTCAACTTTTGCTACAACAAATCTGCATAATAACTTAAAGATAACGGGAGAAAGGCTTTACTGGGACAGTACAGTGAGTAATTTGAAGGAATATCGGGAAAATGGTCATCACCTGGTGGTGAAGTAAAGCTTCTTACAAGTGACAGTGTGAGCTTGAAATGGCATGGAAAGACTGCAAAATGGATCACCTTGTCGGGAGATCCAGAGAAGACGAACAATCTATCCGAAGTATTAACAAATTTGTGTGAATTGTCGGCAGAGAAATTGGTCAACGATGCAGAGGTATGTCACGGCTTTCCTATCGACAGCGAACCGCAAAATTCGGTAAATTTTGTACCTGAGAACTCGGTATGCTCGGTATACTCAGTGAATGAATCAACACAAATGTTACGAAACATTATTACTTATACATAAAATTTTAGGCTAAAAATAAAATAACACAGAGATGTTTGCTTGAGAGCAGCTTAAATGCTCGTGCAAGTAAATATTACTAAAAGCCTAATGAGGGGAGATAATGGATATTTGGGCACATGTCAAAATAAAGTAAATATTGATTATTTCCTTCCATTAGACTGTGACAGTTTGTTGAACTAGCTGTCATTGTGCATGTGAAGATGTCATGTTTAATTGACCTGATTCCTACAGTTTATCTTGTGGGCAGATCTGTTTAAACAGAGCAGCTGCCATGAGGTCTCATGAACATTGACGTTTCACGTGGACAGACTCAGGCGTAATAATGAGTCATCCCAAGCTAGATAACACTCGGTCATACAATTAAAATATTACGTCATCAGAATCTTAGTTCAATAAAATTATGAGTAAATTTAGTCTTGTAGGTAAAGTTATGTTCACATAGGTATAGTTCGAAGTTTTTACTATAAGACCTGCATAAGTATTTAAAGTTGTGAACCAGTTTTGGCATTGATCGATTTAACAGCGAACCGACTCGACAAGTGTGACAACGCCTTAAATAAACAGAATGTGAGAGCTGGAACGAGCTAACAACGCCAACCTACACTTTTAAAACTCAACGTTGATTGGCTGGATACGGATCACACCACTTGTTAGATCACGTGTAAAAGGATTCCCTCAACCGTTAGTATAAAAGAGCGTGCACAGTGAAAGTCGACAGTGGACGTATGCTGAATAAAGCTTAACTGATGAAAAGCTGCAGAAACTCAAACGAAACAAACAAATGACGAAGAAATTAACAAACATATCACGAATGGTGAAAACCTGCTCAACGCTGAAGTTAACTTAAAAAACTACTCCACGAAGATGAACATTAAGAACTGATAGTCATTAGAGATTGATTGTAAACGATTCCCTACCTCGCGTAGAAAATAAATATATTCCTAACAACTGGTGAAGGATCGGCGTTTTCGTGAACGGTTCTTGTTGTAAAATAAAAAAATCTAGAAGATTCCCCTGACGAGTCAGTGGCAAGATGAACTGTCGATGTTTTTTGGCATTGTTGTTCGTCATCAAACTTGTGGCCACAGTTTCTGGGACAATTGTTCAGGAGGATGATTACTTTGCAATTCAAGTTAACCTTCCAGCCGAGTGTTACACTCCAAGTGGTAATATGTCCTTCCTCACGGAGGATACAGTTTGGAAACCCCTGTGGTTGAAAGAATGAACATGATGCAAAATTGCCAACTTTGAGTTCCTGATAACAACGGACATGGACACTGACATAAAATTGGACACCCTATAAGTTGTGTATATTATTTTTATTATGATTTATTACTTGTTTCTCTACCAAGATTGCATGATATTTGTGTATTTTCCCCCCCCTTATTATTAGCCAGACTCGTGAGAATATATATGCCAACTCAAAATATCTTAGGTACACTCAACACACGTATACATGTTGCCGTAGGTTAGCGCATGCATGAAATTAGTTAGGTCAGATTTTAAAAAGTATTAACTAATCATTTTAACGTGTTTCAACTTGTTCGTATATATCATATTTTTCCTCTCCCTGGAACAGTCAAAGGGTCTCCCATTCTTTTTAACGGATTAGGATTTCTTATCAAGCCAAAAGGTAAAATATTAGGCACATTTTTGTTTTCTCTATGTAGATTCGGTATACTTTCCTGTTGGATGAAAACCTACATTTTGGAGTTTGATACGCTATACATGACGTTTTTTAAATTAAATAAATTCGACTTATTAAGAAGTATAAAAATGTCGTTGCATGAATTTGAAAAATTTTGAAGTTTAAGACGTTTATTAAGAAGTATATTAAATTAAGGAATATTTAAGTAAATATTCAGTTTTGGTTATTATTATAGAGAGATATTATGTCGGAAGAGCTAAAAATGATCTCCTGTTGTGTAAAGTTTATCAACCAAGAATTTCAATAAAATTTTGGCTGTTGCAAAAGTAAGTTATTTTATGAAAATTAAATCAGTTTTGGCAGACGTTTTGATCAACAAAATCATTCATTTTAAATTAGTCCCTGGTATACTTTCAGGAAAACAAACAATTTTGTGCTTTGTTTTCACATTCATTTTGGTGTGACTTACCTTATTCTCATGTGTAATAGCTAAAATATATTAAGTAGATTACCCCTGAGGTGCATTTAGGCATAAGTACTATATTTCTTGTATAATCTCGTATGTAGTGTTAACATATATAATTAGCCATTAACACGAACTATATGTATGGACTCAGTTATTGGGCAATAGGTAATTTGCTCGTGTTAAGCTGCGCCAAGCTTAAAAATATATAATCATTATCTATAGTTATGTAATAATTTAGTTTGAACACCTCGAAGCTGAGGGCAGCTTATTCCAGGTGGGAAGGAATGTTATGAAACATTATTACTTATACAATAAAATTTTAGGCTAAAAATAAAATAACACAAAGATGTTTGCTTGAGAGCAGCTTAAATGCTCGTGCAAGTAAATATTACTAAAAGCCTAATGAGGGGAGATAATGGATATTTGGGCACAAAATAAAGTAAATATTGATTATTTCCTTCCATTAGACTGTGACAGTTTGTTGAACTAGCTGTCATTGTACATATGAAGATGTCATGTTTAATTGACCTGATTCCTACAGTTTATCTTGTGGGCAGTTCTGTTTAAACAGAGCAGCTGCCATGAGGTCTCATGAACATTGACCTTTCACGTGGACAGACTCAGGCGTAATAATGAGTCATCCCAAGCTAGATAACACTCGGTCATGCAATTAAAATATTACGTCATCAGAATCTTAGTTCAATAAAATTATGAGTAAATTTAGTCTTGTAGGTAAAGTTATGTTCACATAGGTATAGTTCGAAGTTTTTACTATAAGACCTGCATAAGTATTTAAAGTTGTGAACCTGTTTTGGCATTGATCGATTTAACAGCGAACGGACTCGACAAGTGTGACAACGCCTTAAATAAACAGAATGTGAGAGCTGGAATGAACTAACAACGCCAACCTACACTTTTAAAACTCAACGTTGATTGGCTGGATATGGATCACACCACTTGTTAGATCACATGTAAAAGGATTCCCTCAACCGTTAGTATAAAAGAGCGTGCACAGTGAAAGTCGACAGTGGACGTATGCTGAATAAAGCTTAACTGATGAAAAGCTGCAGAAACTCAAACGAAACAAACGAACGACGAAGAAATTAACGAACATACCACGAACAGTGAAAACCTGCTCAACGCTGAAGTGAACTTAGAAAACTACTCCACGAAGACAAACATTAAGAACTGTTAGTTATCTAAAATTGATGTAACGATTCACTACCTAAATAAAGCCTTGTAACACAAGTAAGTGACAGTGAAACGAATGTCCTTGACAGTAATGATCTTCTCCCAGTAAACATTTTAGAATCAGTGAACATTAGATTTAGTCAAACTGAGTCAAAAATTAAGCATCTCGAGGATAATCTGCATAGTACCTAAATGGCATAATTAATGATATCAGTATGTTAAAAAATCGGCTGTCTATAAACAATGCCGGTGACAAATATATGGCCGCTTTACAAGCTGAAAATGAGAAGCTTAAGAATGATAATGAATCCCTAGTCGAGAGGCTTAGCAATGCACTATTCATCAATTCGGATCTTAATACACGCGTCAAAGATCTTGAGAAGGAAAAATCGTGTCTGGTGACGGCAATTAAGCTTGTTCAGTTGAGCGATAAGATTTCAGCTTTCAAAGATTGCAAAAACAACGAGGCGTCAAATGCTGACGATACTGAGATGAATCAAACAAATCAAAATACTGTTGGTCAGCATTCAAAACCTGAATCCATAATATTGTCGGGTGACGAAAGCTCCCAGCATGTACGCTCTTTAAAACGCAAATACAAGTCTAAAAAAGTCGCAAACCATTCTAAATAAAAAATTCAGTATGACTCTTTTAATGAAAAGTCGCATACAAATTCAACCAAGCATCAACGTAAAAACAAGCAGTCTACATATGACCAAAACGATAGCGTTATAATTGACGCAGATCTTGACACAGATGTCACAGGTCTTAACTCTAAATCTGCAATTAATCGAGGGAAAAAAGTTACAGTTATAGCAGGAGACTCTATTATAAAGAACATACAAGGCTGGCGACTGTCAAATCCCCAAAATCACATTGTTGTTAAGAGTTTTGCGGGAGCTAATTCAATGGACATGGAAGATTACCTATGTCCAATTCTTCGTAAAGAGCCTGATAAAATTATTTTGCACGTGGGGACAAATGATATAAGTCACCAATCAGCTCGTAGAGTAGCACAAGGAATTGCCAACCTTGGAATTCAGATTGTCCGAGAGTCGCCTGCAACTAGTTTAGTCATATCTAGTGTCCTACCTAGAACTGACAAGCCTGAACTATCTAAGAAAGTGGTTGAAACCAATCAACTTATCAAGGCTTTTTGCAATGGAAACAACTGGGAATTTATGGACCATGCAGCTATTGACTCCTCCTGTTTAAACATGAGAGGGTTACACCTCAATCGTAAGGGTACCACAACTATAGCTAGAAATATTTCTAGCTATATCAGTACTACATAGCTTATTGCCAGTGCACAGTCCGATACCAATTATTTAGAAACAGATACTAATGGCGACAAAGTCAATATGTTAGCTAATGTTTTTCGCAAAGGCCTTACTATGGCCTCTCTTAATATTAATAGTCTTCTGGCTTAGCCATTAATGAAACTAAGCTTGATTTCTCTATTGATGACGACCAGGTCCATCTGGCGGGGTACGATTTCGTTAGGAAAGATCGAATACAAAATGGTAGAAGTGGCGGTGGAGTGTGTATATATTTGCGAAGCAACTTGAATTTTCGTTTTCGCGAGGATCTATTAAATGACAACCTTGAATGTCTCGTAATTGAAATTACTAACCCTCGCTCTAGGCCATTTCTTGTCGGTACTTGGTACAGACCTCCAAGTTCTCCTCCTGATCTCTTTTCTCACTTTGAGGTTTTAATGGATAAAATTGATGTTGAAAACTCCGAATTTCATCTGCTTGGCGACATAAATTGCAATATGCTCTCAGGGTCGCCCGACTCTAACACCTCCGAACTTTTAAACATTTTAGATATTTACGATTTTCATCAACTGATTACAGAACCTACTAGAATATCTTTAACTTCGCAAACTCTAATTGATTTATGTATTACCAATTTTCCTGATAAAATAACAGCATCTGGTACTTTTTCACTGGGTATCAGTGACCATTCACTTGTTTACTTAGTTCGCAAGTCCAGCTACCCTAAGTGGCAGATAAATAAACCGGTGATAAGGAGAGATTTCAAACAATTTAAGGAAGCCAATTTCCTACATGATTTAAATGAGTTAAATTTTGACGAGGCTTCCCATTGTGAAAATCCTAACGAAATGTGGTACAACTGGGCAAATAAATTTACGTTGGTGATCAATAAACATGCTCCCTTTAAAAAAAAACGTCTAGGGAAAAAGAAATCTCCGTGGATTACACCGGAAGTTGTTTCAAAAATGCGCCAAAGAGATTCTCTAAAAAAGAAATTCGACATTACTAAAGATGAACATATTTGGAATCAATATAAAAAAGCTCGTAATGAAACCAATAATCTCATTAAGCAATCAAAACGTAACCATTTTACATCAAGCTGCAGGTAACGACCCTAAAAAACTTGGAAGCTTATTAACGAACTGACCTCTCGTAAACAAAGCAGGTCGGGCAATGTTAGCAAAATTAATTTAGATGATAATAATGTAATTACAGAGGCCTCAGAAATTACAGATGCCTTTAACTTTCATTTCACCAATGTTGGCAAAAATTTAGTGAATGACATTAGTAAATCCAATGTAAATCCTATTCAGTACATTAAAAGGCCAAATTGTGTTTTTTCATTTCAAGAAATTCATATTGATAAAGTCAGGCAGTTTCTAAAACATATAAACGTTGCAAAATCTACTGGTATGGACAATCTTCCGGGTAAACTACTAATAATTGCAGCCGATATTTTAGCACCTTCCTTAACAAAACTTATTCAACAAATCACTATCCCCGGGCATCTATCCTAGTGATTGGAAATTGGCCAGGGTTGTTCCTATATTTAAAAATGGTGACAAATCAGATTTGAATAATTATCGTCCAATCTCCATAATCTCAAGTGTTGCAAAAGTTTTCGAAAAAATCGTATATGATCAATTTTACGAGAACTTGTCAGTGAATGATCTATTCTCGCATCAACAATCGGGATTTCGACCTACTTACAGCACTGTAACGGCTCTACTCGAATCGACAAATGACTGGTGCGTAAATATCGATAATGGTCTGGTAAATGGAGTTATTTTCATTGACCTAAAAAAGGCCTTTGATACTATTGATCACAAAATTCTCATAAATAAATTTGAATGCTATGGAGTTGATTGCAGTGCTCTAGGCTGGTTTAAATCTTATCTGTCTGATCGTAAGCAAAGGTGCTTCGTGAATGATACACTATCCAGTAGCCGTTCTTATACTTATGGTGTTCCGCAAGGGTCAATAATTGGACCTCTCTTGTTTCTGGTCTATATTAATGATTTGCCAAATTGTATGAATGACGGTTTAGCAAGAATGTATGCCGATGATACTAACATAACTTTTCACAGCCATGATCTTTCTGAGTTGGAAGACGCAATGAATGCGGAATTGATCAATCTAAATACCTGGCTACAATCCAATAAATTAAGTCTTAATATTGCAAAAACCGAACTTATGGTCATTGGCTCCCGTCAGAGACTTGCAACCTTCAGTGAAACCAACGATTTAAATGTCTTTGTAGACAACAAAAAGATAAAAAAAGTTCAATCTACAAAGTCGTTAGGTCTAACAATCGACGAGCACTTAACTTGGAAAAACCATATCAATAATATTACCAAAAAAATTTCGTCCGGTATTAGTGCTCTTAAGCGCGTAAGACCTTTCATCAATAGAGAAACGGCTGTGAAGGCATACAGGGGCCTGGTCGAGCCCTATTTTACTTATTGCTCTCCAGTGTGGGATGGTATTGGTTTAAAACTGCCTGAGAAACTACAAAAGCTGCAAAATCGTGCGTCTAGGGTAATGACCAGGTCCTCGTATGAGGTTTCGTCAGCATCCCTACTTTCTGAGTTGGGATGGAGTGTTTTGGCAAAAAATCACATGAAGCAAAAAGCTATCCTAATGTACAAAGTTAATAATTGTGCTCCTCAACACTTGCAGCAGTTATTTACACCCAAAGTGAGCAATCATGATCTGAGAAATTCTCTAAATAAACTGTCTGTTCCAAAACCTCGAACAGACTAATTAAAATGTTCTTTCAGCAACAGTGGTGCTTCCCTGTGGAACAGCTTGTCAGAACAGCTCAGATCAGCCCCTTCTCTCAATTCATTGACTAATTTCCTATAGTATACTGAGCATATTTATGGACTCTTGCGCGGCAATCATGTAAAACAGTAATTATTATTTTTATCTTTTGACTAACATTGTATATATTTAAATTTGTGTATTTTATTCTTGTACTGTTGATTCTTCCGTGTTGAAATAAAGTGTATGTATGTATGTATGTATGTATGTATTAATGTGTTGTTTTATTGTTTAGGAATGGTTTGTAGGGGATGAACCTGAAATTTTGGAATGAACGTTTCGAACAGAGAACTGTTAGTAAAGAAATAGTTTATAGTGAAAAGGATGCTTTTTCTTGTAGTTAGGGGAATGTTGTTTATGTAAAAAAGGCTGATATATTGTGTTTGTAAAAAAGTTTTAATTGTAAATTAAAAAAGATTTTTTGAAATGTTTGTTGTGGATTAAATTATTTTGTAGGCATGCATTTTGGGTGTTTTTGGTAGTTGTATTATAAAGTTTGGGAATGGGTGTCGTAGAGTTTATTGTGTAATCTGCACAGGTGTGTAATGGATGTGAGATTTAGGACTCCTGCGACTTTTTTTATTTGTGGTCAAACACAGAGTGGAAAGTCCTATTTGACACGGCGTATATTGCAGAATGCGGAGGAATTGTTTGAATCTGTGCTGACAAAAATAATATACTGCTATGGGGAATATCAAAAGGAATTCGAGGAATTATCGCGGAATTAGGGGTGGGAATTTGCTCACAGGAATTTTTTCAAGGATTGCCAAGGCTTAATATACCAAGGGATATTGCTGGAAACGCAAAAAGGTGGGAGGAGATCCAGGGACCTGGCCCTGTTAGCCATGGATCACCTCCTGTACAGACACCTCCTCTGCAGATACCCCAACGGGAGACACCCAAGGACAGGGCATGACATTACCATCAGTATATATGGGGCCGTTTGAACATACCAAGAAATTGGCTTAGTTATAATTAGGGATTGTTGGTGACGGTTGTGTTAAGGAATCGTTCCAAAAAAAATACTTGTTTAAAAAGTGGGATCAGCAGTAAATGTAGAGAACATTGACTTTAAATTGCAATGGGTTATTTAGTGTTGGGTTTATAAGGCTTACAATTGTGCGGTTCGCTTGTGGGACGTGCGCGGACATACTTCAGACAGAGAGCCAACACCCTATAGCACGTCAACAAACGGCACTTGAGACAATAACAACCAAGATAGAATTACTGAAGGGAGAAGTCGAAGCGAAGAAAATTACAGACAAAGCAGATCCTGACGAGATAGAGAAATGGATTGGGGAAATTGAAGTACAGCTAGCGAAGGCAGATGATGAAGTTAAGCGACTACAACAATGGCAAGATCAAATCACAAGAGAAGGGAAACAACATGAGCGAGAAGAATAATTACACCACGAACGCAAACTTTATGTGGCAAAAATAAAACTGAAATCTGAATTAAAACTTTCAAGTGA